CTGATGCCCCCCACGCTGCCGTGTGTACCCCTTCTCGGCGCGCGCCCTCCTTCAGCTGCCTGGGAAAGCCCTAACCCTTGCCGCCTGGCTCAGGAGAAGCTGGGATCTGCCCGCTGGCCGGAGGCCTCCGTGCGAGGCTGAGTCCTGTTGCCCCGTAACTCCCCGCTCGTGGGTCTTCTCCCGGCGGGCCATCTCCTCCCCGCTCTCAGCGTGGTGTGATGCTGGGTACACAGGGTAAGCACCAGGTAAATGTTGAGCCGATGAACAAACACGCGCTCAGGGACGGCCGGTGTCTGATGCAGAGCCGCGTGCACGCCCCGCCCGACAGCTTCATCTGCAGGCCTGCGGGCGCACGCCCCGCAGCCGGGGGGCGCAGGCTGGTGGGCCCGGCCCCGGCTCCGTCGGCCCCAGCCGGGAGGACCTCCTGGTCAGGCCGGAGAGCCGCTGCACTGCCGTCTGCAGGGACCGGGCGGGCCGGGGGCTGGAGCTGCCCAGCAGCTGCCTCAGCGTGTCCTCCGTCAGCGGTGGTCTCTGGCTACCCCCCAGGCCCAGGGTTTCACGTGCAGCTTGTGTCAGGGGGCAGGGCAGCGTCATCCCTGCAATACCCGCCCAGGCAGGAGTGGGAACCGCCCGCATGTCCCTGGGGCAGGGGTGTGGCTCTGCCCTGCGGTGCTCCCTGGGATGCGCTGCCCACTCCGGCCTGCTCCAGGAACCGGGCCTGGAGGCGGGCTGAGGCCGGGCGGGGCCCTGGGGAGGGTGGCCGGGCCAGGGGCTGGCAGGTGGGCGGGAGACGGCCTGTGGGGCAGCGGGCCAGTCCTGGCCGGCCGGCCGGGAGAGCCTCGCTGGTGGCCGGCCTCCGTCCTGAGGCCGTGGGGGCCCCAGCAGCGAGATGGGCCCGCTGAGCAGAGCAGTCCTGGACTGAGCCCCTTTTTCAAGTCTGTTATTTTTGTAACTGAAGCGCAGCAGGTGGGAGGGACGAGGCTCAGAGCCCTTTGAAGCTGCCTCAGAGGCCCAGCGCCCCGCCCCGCCCCAGGACTCCAGGCCTCCTTCCCCGCTCTTCCCTGAGCTAATTAGCGCTCCACACATTAACTCCCGCCTGACTGCATAAGGAGGCTCCCCTCCTCTTCCAGAGGGAACCTGCTGGCTTCTGCAGGAAATACTCTGGTCCCCACAGAAGCAGCGGCGAGTAACTAACTGCCCATCGCGGTGAGGCCGGAAGGCCCTTCCTTAGAGCAGGCTGACCACAGCTCCGGGAGGCCCTTGGGCTCCCCCTGCGCATCTGCCTTTTCGGGGCACGTGCGCGCCCCCTCCCGGCCCCAGCCTCCCTCGTCCCTCCCATCTCGCCTCTGAGCCTATATTCAGGAGTGGTGAACCCCGCTAGGTCTAGGGGTTATGTCCCAGGGCTACGGGATCCCCTATCTTTCTTATCAGAGTTCCTTGTCTTTTTTAAAGATTTATTTATGCATGCAGGAACTCGGGTGCAGGCCAGAGGGGCAGGGGGCAAGAGGACCCCCAGAGACAGCGTGGGGAGCAGGAAGGCGGACCCACTGAGACACTGCCGAGAGGGCAGCGGGGAGACAGGAGGGGTCTGCTGCGTCCCGGGGGTCCCTCCTCGCGCTGCAGGGGCTGGAGACAGCTGGAGAGCACAGACAGCCTCTGGCACACCAGGAGCCCCAGACTCCCTGAATTTTCTTACCACAGTGTTCCCACCACCACCACCTGGTCCCCACTTCCCCCGGGGCTCCATCTCGCCAGCACCCCCGGGGGCGCCACCTCTGTCTTTGGCTTCAGGCCCATTACAGTTAGACTGGGGACAGCTCAGTGATTCTTCAGGGGTGCTCTGCTGGGGCCAGGGAGACCCCCAGCCCCCGCGCTCTGCTCCAGGGTTGCCCTGCAGGGGAAGTCGGAGCTTCTGCTCCCCGAGAGCCTGGGCGGCCCCTGTACCCGCCCAGCCAGCGCTGCGTCAGCGTCACATCGGGCCACGCCGCCGTCCCCCACGCCGCCGGGCGTCGCCGCTCTCCTAGAGGTGGTCACCCGGGAACTGCCCTTCGGCTGGCCCGGCAGGTACTGCCGGGATGCGCTTCTCTGGGGACAACACGTCACGCGCGTCAGGCCGTGTTCTCCGTGGATCCGCTGGGCAGTCACCCAGCGCCTGGACCTCTCCAAGTCCGTCGGCATCTGCTGCCCCGTCGGCCCCCAGAAAGGCTGTCCCGGTCCCGTCCGCCACCCTGTTGGGGAACGCTTGGCCAGCACCCCAGCCAGGGGAGGCGCAACTGAAACCTGTGATTTTGACCTTTGGGTGCATGATTGCAGGTTAAAAGAGAACATTTGGGCTTCTTTTGTGTGCCAAAGCGTTGCAGGAAAGAACGCGTCTCACGGTGTCTCAGAAAGCTTTATTCCAGCAGAAAAATGAATGTGGACGTCAGGCTGTGCACACATGAAGTCACTAATGGTCTGGCAAGGGCCGGCTGGTCACGCCAGTGTTCCCAGGCCCGGTGGTTCACGGTCCTTGACCCCTCCCCTCCTTTGTGCAGGGAGGCTACCTTGATGTTGATCAGGTCGTTAAAATGCGCTCAGATGTCCAGATAGTGTCCCTGCGAGGCCTCCTCCCCGGGATCTTTGTGGCAGTCTCTCCCCTTGACTTCTGGGCGGTGCCGTGCACGCCTGCAGGGCTGGAGCGCTGTTGGGGTGCCCTCCCTTCCTCCCCTGTGGGGTGGGGTCCCGTTGCCCGTGTCCTGGTGGCCGGTGTCAGGACACCCCCACATCCACCTTAGCCGTTAGGGTGCTCCCTGTGGGGTCTTACCCCCTGCCAAGCTGCTCACAGTCAGTAGCTGCAGAAAGGCCCTAGTGGAAGGGGTGGGGAGGCCGCTGTCCCCCTCAGGGCGTCCCCTGGCGTCACTCACCTTCAGCAAGTGACCTGGTCCCAGTGTAGAGCCGCGCCTGGAAGTTTCAGGAGAAATGCTGTTCCGCGGGGTTAGGCGGCACCTTGTGAGCCACGATCCAGAGTCACGATGGTCACAGGGACGGGACGATGGGGAACTGCACCCCGCTAGAATAAGTGCATTCCGCTTGGGTAAGTGCACCCCGCTAGGATAAGCTGTACCCCGCTTATCCTGGGTCAAGCTGCTGGCTGTCGCCCGTGCCGGGTGCGTGTGCTATGTGAACCAGGTTTGGAAGGGCGAGGGGCTCTTCTGGGGCCCCCCTCGTGAGGACAGAGGCTGGAGAACAGGGTTCCCCCAGAGGCTCGGCCCGGCCCCGCTCGTCTCCCCGCCCTCCCCCAGGCCCACACTCTGCTCTGCGGGGCCGAGCGACTCAGCAGGTGTCCCCGTGAGGCAGTGCGGTCTCCGCTGCTTTTCCAGCCGGTAAAGACAAGACCTTCTAGACCCTTCCACACGGAGGCCTCTGTGCAGGCCGGAAGGGGAGCTGGGCCCAGCAGCCCGCGCGGTGCCGCCGGATCCCACAGCGCCTGGTCCCGGGAGACACGTGGGGCCCGGCTCTGGCCCGCTGTGCCAGCCGCGCCGGAGAGTCCCCGCCAAGCAGTCCTGAGTGGGCCCCGGGGGGGTGTTACCGGGTCGCCAGCCGGGAGGGTCTCCGGCTCCCAGCCAGGCCTCTTTCATGCCTACTTGCCCAGGACAGCAGCCTATGTCAAAGCTTGTGAAGAGGCAACATTTTAAGCAGGCGCAGTTTCAGGGCTCGTTTTTCCTGTCTGAAACTTTTTATCTGACGGCAGCGGTATTGGCCGAGACATTATGTAAGCTGTGGTGTGCCGCAGGAAAATCAGCAGCTGTACCGCGACCCGCGTCCCCCCCGCCCAACTCCCCCGCCCCCCACACTCCCGGGTTTGTCCCGACGGTCTCAGGGCTGTTTCGTGTTTACTCCCCACTTGTGCGGGGGTGGGGGGCCCTTCCTGGCCCGGCGTCCGCCCGCCGCACCCACACGCCACACCTTGTCGCCGGCACCTGTCACCGCACCTGGGGTGTCTCAGCGCGCGGCTCTTGGGAACCGGGGCTGCGGGCACGCGGGGCGCATCCACGCTTTCGCCTCCCTGGGGTGAACACCAGAAGCGAAGGTGCCTCTGTGGCATTTCTAGGCTTCGTTTTTTCAGGAATTGCTGTGCTGTTTGGAAAGTTTCTATTTTCTATTTAAAGAGGGAAATTTGCAGGAGTGGGAAGAAGCAAAGGCCACAGGCTAGGAGAGTTGTGTAACTGAAAAGCTCAGCAGAAAGGGATCACATCGGAGCAGCCGGCCCCCGCGAGCGGGGCCAGGGCGGCGCCGGTCACTGGCTGGCTTCGGCTGGACGCCCCTGCAAGCTGCCCACCGGCTCTCCAAGGGCCAGGGCGCTTGAGGCCGGCTCAGGCTCGGGGGTCGGAGCCCCGCTGGTCCCGTGGGCGCTGGCGGCCCAAGTGTCTCCCTGGCCAGGGGCCGCCGAGGCCTTTCCGGGAGGACGGGGATCCCCTAGAGGCACCTGCTCTCTCCATCCTGGGCTCAGCGAGGTGGCGGCACAGTTTGCAGATTCTCAGTTATTTTTGAAGCCCCAGGTGCTGGCGTGCTGGGTCTGTTGATTCTTAACGCTCAACTCTGAAGAATTTCAAACAGGAAGCTGAGAAGCTGGGGTGGGGAGGCGGCGTCGTGGCCATCCTGCAGACCTGCGGGTCCCCGCAAAGACACCCCCCGCGCCCTCAGAGCCCCGACAGGCCGCCTGGGCCGCCAGCATCGTGCTGGCCTAGTGACCTCTCTGGACATACCGGGGCCAGCAGGCCTGGCCGTCGCCCCTCTGTCTGGGAGGGACGCACCCCTGGGCCGGCCCCTAAGCACAGCTCACGGGCGCGCTTGTCTGCGGGTGTGGACGCCGGGCGTCTGGGAGAGGTGCCACCCGGTGCCAGGCGTGCAGCGGGCGAGCAGCCGGGGCTGCCCCGTCCCTCCGGGGCTTGCCCAGCCCGGCCCCCCCAGCAAAGTCGAGCAGCGAGGAGCGCTAATCACCACGTTTTGCATCTCCGCAGACCCTGGCAGCGGTCCTGAACTTCAAGTACTCCGGCGGCCCGGGCCACGTGGAGGGCTACTTCCGGAGCCTGTCGCTGGGGCTGCACGTGCAGGTGGCGCCGTCCATCTTCTTCACCCGCATCAGCACCCTGCCCGCCACCAGGTGAGCGCCTCGCATCAGCACCACGCCC